GTCCTCAACTGTCATATGTGAGAGTAATAACAAGCTGTGGGAAACGTTTGATTATGAAGCCTGAAACCATAGGAAACTTGCCTGGTGTAAAGTTTCTTTAAAAGTTAGAAATACTCCATGGGTCAAATCCTTGCCCCATTAAAATCAGTGGGAAAACTCCTGTTGACTGCAGAAGGGCCAAAATTTCCTCTAAGATGCTTGTTGAAAAGTTTGGGAACCTGAGCAGATTTATAGCTTCAAGTTAAAACTATATAAATATTTAAAATAAGTGAATTTGGCATTTAAAGCTGAGTTTTGATTAAACCCTGGACTCACAGCAAAATTAAGCGAGTGTGAGTAATGACAATTGAAGCCAAAGAAATTTCTCGCACACTACTTGTGAATCAAAACTACAGTGTTGCATACGTTTCTACTACAGGGTTAAAACTGCCAACCCAAATGTTACACGTAATATATTTTTTTTATTTTCTAAGTCAGAAGATTCACTTAGTGTTGGGAGCAAGGATACAAGGGCCAAATATAATGCATGTTGAATTCAACAAAGTAATATTAAGACTCAACAGTTGAAATTTCAAAAAATATTATTGGGAACATCCTCTGTTGATTTCATTTTCTTCAAAGGATTTACAATAACATCTATAAATTATTGTAGTTTGACAGGCTCATTGTGAAATACATAATAGTTTAAAAAAATTAAACAAAGCTACTTTGCAAAGAATGATGTGTAAGTACATTGGAAAAATATACCAGTTTTTCTCCCAGCAATCACAACTGCCATTTCTCCACTATTTCTAATTTTAGCTCTGCAAACTTTGTTTCTGTAACAGAGGGTATTGTGTGTGGGGTTTTGTGTGCAATTGCTTGTGCGTTCTAAATGTCAGTATTCAGATGGAGCTAGAAATTTACCTTTGGAATGAAATTTTTGGATTTAGAAAGTATGATAGAATGCAGCAAACAAAAATAAAATTTTAAGATCCTAAAATGTGGGATTTACAATGTTATTCATGCCTGTAATTTCCCCACCCCCCTTTCCCTTGATGTTAATGTTAACAAAATGTTGGAGCATCATTTAGTCTTTTCCCTCATGTTAGTTGTCTCAGCACCAATCCCTATTACTGCCAAACACACTTCCCTTCTCCAAAAGGGAGGATATGCTGTGATGTCAAAGATCTTCATTGATCTTCAGACAAAGTTTTGCTAAATCTATCAGGTGCTCACTGAACATGCACAGAAGTGATTATTCAATTGCTTTTAAAAATCTAAGAGTTATATGTACCATCCCCCAAATCGAGCAAATGTGCTAATTCTCATTGAGGACTATGTTCATGACAAGTTTCAAACTTCGGCCATTTTTAATTGTCCTTAAAAGCGTGCTTACTATGATGATGATTATTATTATACATTTTGTAATGGAAAGAGTTTTTTCAGGCTTGCATAATTTAAATGTGGTTGAAAGGTTTTTATTCTTAAAATAATTAATCTTGCAGTAGAGAAAACATGGAGAATTTAAGATGAAAAGACAAATGTTATGTACTTATCAACACTTGAACACAAGGGTGATAATTGAGACTGGGTGCATTTTTTACAGCATTGTCTACTTAGAAGCCTAATGTCAATGAAACTTGAGACTTAGGCACTTTGAAAATGTTACCCACTGTTTATAACCTTAACCAGCACATGGTATAATACTGGAAAGAAATGCTAGAATGTAACCATTACTACTATAGGTTTTATATAAGCAAAAGGTAAACAATGTTGCATGAGACCATGAGTACACACCACAAATGCCACAGCAAACTGCTTTTAAATATCCCTGGGGCAACATTTCTTATATTATTACTGGCAGGTTTCTTCTGTTTTTTTATCTGACCTTTTATTAGCACACTGCTAGATGGCTACAGCTAACTGCACCTGGTGTGGTAGTGGTTTCTGTGTGCAATGCCATGTCTATCTTGGGAGACAACATGCATAAACTAGGTTGAGGGAGTGAGGTGAATGGATTGGACAGTGTGTGTACAGATGTGGAATTGCTATGTGGTCGTGAACTGGCGATCATGCTGTGTCCCTAGAGAGTTCATTCAACTATTTAAAAACACACCCACGCACATCTGGGGACTTCAGAAAATGTTAAGTGGCAACTATTTTCATTAAAAGGGAAGATGGTGCTGGATTGGGTTTGGATCTTCATTTCAAAAACCCCATTTCCCTCCTCCCTTCACGCCCCCCACCTCCAAAGTGTGGCTGTTCAGATCTGAGTTTAGACTGGGGGGAAAAGGAGGGGGACGGGAGAGCAGAGCTATGTCAGGTCCTGGCTTAAGTCCCGATTTCAGGATCACCACCTTCTACTGAAGTTCTGGACTGTTCAGATTTGGGGGGTTGATCTGTGTCACTTCCAAATAAATCCTTACAAAAATAAAAATAAAAAGCAGGGGGGGGGAGTCAACAATGAGCCCTGAGTAAAGATGTTGAGCCTTTGCAGTTGTGATGATTTGGGGGCTCTGTCTGTACCACTTCTGAATTGTGGATGATTTTATGAAATTACTGTGTCATGGAAAGCCTTGGTGGATCCCCCATGAATTAGTGGTGTTGTGTCATGTCTCTGCCAGACCAGAAAGAGACGATGGTGAGTGATTCCCCAGCACTCAATGATTGTCTAGTCAAAGTAAAACATCTTGGGGCAATGAGCTGGCTTTAGCTGAGAGAAGACAACTTCTCCTCTTGTCTGGAGGGGTTTGGGAGCAGTGAAAAGGTACCAAAAGGCAGAACAAAAGAAGCAGGTGACCCCCAGCATGAATCTTTAAAAGGATTTGTGGGGGAAAGTGGATGGATGCAGGGGAAAGTGGATTTGCGGGGGAAGGTGGATGGGGGTGGAGAGCCATTTTGCATCAGATTAAGATGAAGGGGGCTGCTTCAGGGGCAGGGTAGGCAATGGCATGGTGGACCCTGCCTGCCTGAAAAAAGGAGAGATGGTTCCCCAAGAGATGAATGGACTATAAGGTGGATAGCAAGTAGGCTAGATCGTCGGGCTCAACAGGTAGTGATCAATGGCTTCATGTCTAGTTGGCAGCCAGTATCAAGCAGGGTGCCTCAAGAGTCGGTCCTGGGGCCGGTTTTGTTCAATACCTTCATTAATGATCTGGAGGATGGCATGGACTGCACCCTCAGCAAGTTTGCAGATGACACTAAACTGGGAGGAGTGGTAGATATGCTGGAGGGTAGGGATAGGATACAGAGGGACCTAGACAAATTAGAGGATTGGGCCAAAAGAAATCTAATGAGGTTCAACAAGGACAAGTGCAGAGTCCTGCGCTTAGGACAGAAGAATCCCATGCACTGCTACAGACTAGGGACCAAGTGGCTAGGCAGCAGTTCTGCAGGAAAGGACCTAGGGGTTATGGTGGACGAGAAGCTTGATATGAGTCAACAGTGTGCCCTTGTTGCCAAGAAGGCTAATGGCATTTTGGGCTGTATAAGTAGGGGCATTGCCAGCAGATCAAGGGATGTAATCATTCCCCTCTATTTGGCATTGGTGAGGCCTCATCTAGAGTACTGTGTCCAGTTTTGGGCCCTACACTACAAGAAGGATGTGGAAAAATTGGAAAGAGTCCAGTGGAGGGCAACAAAAATGATTAGGGGGCTGGAGCACATGATTTATGAGGAGAGGCTAAGGGAACTGGGATTGTTTAGTCTGCAGAAGAGAAGAATGAGGGAGGATTTGATAGCTATTTTCAACTACCTGAAAGGGGGTTCCAAAGAGGATGGATCTAGACAGTTCTCAGTGGTACCAGATGACAGTACAAGGAGTAATGGTCTCAAGTTGCAGTGGGGGAGGTTTAGTTTGGATAGTAGGAAAATCTTTTTCACTAGGAGGGTGGGGAAGCACTGGAATGGGTTACCTAGGGAGGTGGCAGAATCTCCTTCCTTAGAGGTTTTTACGGTCAGGCTTGACAAAGCCCTGGCTGGGATGATTTAGTTGGGGATTGGTCCTGCTTTGAGCAGGGGGTTAGACTAGATGACCTCCTGAAGTCCCTTCCAACCCTGATACTCTATGATTCTATGAGAGGGCAACATTGTGTTTAGGATGTTATATTGTTTTCTATATGATCTGTACTGTTGGTGCTTTATCTGTTATGAGCAATGGCCCTAGAATCTGTGCAAAGCCCCCCTACTGGTATACGTTAAGAATTCACAATTACCATGTTGCCCCTGAGAGAGGTCAACTGTAAACCAGAAGCTTCACACTTTGGGGGAGTGTTCTGGAAGAGGGGTGTTTTTATGTACTGGGGAGCCTGAAGAGTCAGTGTTGCTCCCAGGGTGGGTAGGTGGCTGCACAGCAGGTTCCAATGCTCAGAGAAGGGTCTGCACCTTGAGAGGGCCTGGGGACCCCGTTCAGGCCCCAGAAGCATCACACACCCAGGGGACCCAGAGCACAGAGGCTAGGATTCCCCTCACAGCAGTCCTGGCAGGTGGCCAGGAAGGGGCACTTGCTAGGGTCTGTGACAACTGTGTGTAAACAATTGGCAGTGTTTCAAACCCTGACATCCGTATGCAATTTTTGCCAGTACTTATTCAGGCAAATTTGTATGAAAGTGAACAGGAATTTGAGTATGGCTGATTAAGGCTCTGAAGGTGGAGTCCTAGGAGATGTCAGTAGCTCTCATATGGTTTAACTGCTTAGTATTCTGGCATGCTCAATATGTATAAGGTTCTTACAGTGATAAAATACATTATTCTGTTTGAAAAGTAGGTGCAGTCTCTTATTAAAACTACCACTCTTAATTATATTTGTTTAAATGGTAAGAATCAAATTCTACAGTTACACTTATAAAAATCTGATCTACTCCAGATTTACAGCAGTGAAACTGAGAAGAATTTGGCCCTCTGTTGTAAACCACATTAAAGGTTGTGTTGCTTCATTCCTGATCAGGCTTTATGCCAAAACCTGATTCTATGGGTGGGGATATAATCAGTCTGTAACAAACAAGCTGTTTTGATTCAGAGTCCATTTCCTGCACATTGTAGCAACAATCAGAGAAACTGAAAGGAGCTGGCCCTCTTAAGGCACAGACTTTATACACGTAAGTACAAATGCTTTCAGGAGAAGCACAGGCTTCAAAGTATTTTTCACTGGAAGTTCTCAAAAGGGAAGGCTAATGTCTTCCATATTTTGGTAGCATTCAGCAATAAAAAATAATCCTGTAGCAATCAATGCTTTCCTGTTGCAACCAGTTTACAATTGCTTGAGGAGTGCTCACTTTGCTTTCTGATTTAATTTGAAGAGTTTAAAAGGTTTTGCTGTATGGTTCAATGAGGGTCTAATTCACACCCGTGTAAATCAGGAGTAACGTCAATTACACTAGTGTAAGATCAGACACAAGCCTACAATTTACAAAACCAAACGTCCAGGATAATTTTTGATTATCAGTTAGTAATGCTCATTTGGACAAGTTGCCCTATCATTAGTGGTCTGTTTGTAGAATTAATTTCCTCCTCCTCTTTCCCCACTTCTAAACTAACTGATTGCAGGCCAAATCGCAATCAATCAATCAATCAATCAAATGAACAAGATAAATTCCTTAAACTGCATCTAACGTGAAATGAATTTATTCTGTTCTTATCACTGTAGTTGTACAAAATAAACATGCAAATTAAATCACAGCAACTACTATAGTTATTATAGAAATAAAAAACCTTCACTATCATGATCCTAAATTGTAAAAAGACTAACAACTGTAGAATATTTTTAGAAGATTGAAGGTTGTAAAATATTTTAATACCAAATGGTATGAGCCTGGCGTTATTCCATCTACACTAAAGAATAAGCTGGTGGACTGAGCAAAGGAATGTGTCAACATGGACTGTACCATTCTTTCTTATGGGTGGTATACAGTGTGTTTCATAACCCCTGTGGACATTCAAATATTACTTTGCTTTCTTGCAACATTTTAGTTTGTCTGTTTTGAAATCTCCCCTAGTTCTCTGATTTTGTTGGAGGATTTCAATGCTGAGCATCTAAGAAAGAAAACAATTGTCAGTGAAACTGATCCATATGCGTGTCTGAATGTCTGGATATGTTGCAGCCTGAACAGTTTTGTAGTTCCTAATGCATAACTGCATTTTATTCTGTGTTTATTCACTGCAAATTTCACTTGAGTGCACCAAATACATACTGAATTGTTGGCCTGAGGGCTGGTAATTCATGTAATGGAGTCAATTTAGCTGCAATTTGTTAGTCTGTCTTTCTAATGCATAGGCAAGATTACGGCTCTTATCTAACAAAAACAGACTCATTAAAACAATCCCCAGCAACAACGAACAGAGACTAGGTGCTTCACAGCTACCTGAGCCCATGTAGTTTACTATGTGAGGGCCAAATTTTGGAGCACCTATTTACACGGGTGACCCCTTAATCACATGATCAGACCTTTTGTTTTCTGAGACTGCTTGCCTCAGAAAGTGCTTATCAGGGTGAGTAAGAGCTCCACAATATTGCCCTTAATATACTTATTTAACATTTTTCTCTGAGTGCTTTTAGGGTACTTGAAAGATTCAAGGGGCATTTCAGATGGATTGAGTCATTTTTCTTGTCTCTAGGTAACTTTCATGAGCAGGGCCAAATTCTGATTGCTTTGACCCCGAGTATAACTCAGTTACTTTCAATAGTTGCTGCGGAATTACCCAGGTGTAACTGAGGTCAGACTCTAGCCCACAATACCTTACCCACCTAGGTATACTGAAATTTATAGGGATTGGTAGAGTTGGCCCAGCACTTACACCGCTGACAGAATTGTTATCTGAAATGTAGTTACCCTCCCTTTCCCTACACAAGGTGCAATACCATCGTTTCCAAAAAAAAGTGTAAAATGCTGTGATGAATCTGACATAGGTGAATGAATGTGGTCATTTGGGAGGATGGTTTGTCAAGAGTGGGTCAGTGAGGTTAAGGTATCTTGAGGAGCACAGAACTTGAAAGTGGTTGGGTTCTGGTAGCCAGATCATGAAGAGCTGGGTCAGTTGTCTGAGGTTTTGTTTTTTGTTTTTTTTAAATTAGCTACCAGTCAAGTGGAAGTGGAGCAGGAACTGTGTGGGAACCACTGTTTCAGCATGAATAAACAGTGCCCAGAGACTCCCATACTACAGAAGTGAACATTGGGTAGGTGACCTTGAGAATACCTAATTACTATTGATGGAGGAATGGACAAAGAGCTGTCACCCAGGGTATTAGGCCTGAGGAGTGATAATTTTCTTTTGGACTTCCCCTGAAGGCTAAAACTACCCCAGAGACTATATTATAATTGTTAATTGAAACTGTTTAAGCCAATGAGCCTAAGGTATTTGGGATCTAGAGAATCATCCTTTTGTTTGAGCTGTGTGCCTGAATGCTTATTGGGTGGGACCCACCAGCTGCTAAAGCCAAAGGGGCCTTGCAGTACAAGGACCTTAAATGCTTGTCATGCAGTTGATCTATAGCTGGTGTGCCACCAGTCACTGTTTCTGAAAAGGGTGCCTGTCCCACAGCACTCCAGGAACCCCACTGGTGCTACCCAATCAGAATGGTGGCTTTTTACAGCTGCTTGGCACTGATGTACATGGCTATCCAGCTGTAAGGCATGGAGAATCAGTACCTTTGTCTGTTTTCTCCATGGTTTGCTAGGGACCATCAGTGAGTGCTGTTTATGGTGATGGTCTTCACAGTGTAGGGTACTGTCCATTGGGGACTGAAGTGAGACCACCAAGCCCATTTCACCCCAGTCATTCAACAGCAATAATACATCTAAAAGTATATTGAAGTCACAGGACAGCCCAGAGTCTGGTGGAGCTGGCAGATTTGGGGCTACCCAATAAACTTAATATTTTTTTAAAAAGAAACCCCACTGTCTGTGGCAGTTACTGGAACAATAATTTAGCATTCCAAGAAAAATCTGGATACATTTAAAAATTGGCTCCTACTCCTGTTGATGAATTAGAAATATGCACAGAATGAGGCCTGAGAGGGCGACTTGGCAAACCATAAGAGAGAGCCTCAAAGAGAGCAATAGGGAGAGAGTTTGCCCCTATTCTAGTGGGGTACCGGGGCTGTGGAGGCATCACAAAGGGCCAGAGACAATTCCCTAGTGCAGGCACAGTTCAGTGCCACTGTAAGCATCTATCCCATGAATCCCAGCTGGGCACGGTTGGGGGGTTTGTTGATATGCTCTTAGACATGCTCAGCAGAATCCTTCCCTGCCAAAATACCCACCGAACACAGTGGCACAAGTTGCTATAGACCATGTAAGCAGCAACAGCACAGCTTTCCCATCCGTGCTGTGGGATCTTCCTGTGGAAGTTCCAGGGTTGCTCCTGGCCACACAGCTCCTAGAGGGAAGTATAGTGTCGCTCTTCTCTGTTATGTGCTGTGGCAACTTAGAGAACAAAATGGCTGCTGAACTGCTCATTGAGAGAGTTTTGGGCAATGTAATGGTGCAACACCCTGAAAGGAAGAGGCATCCCAGTTTCACAGCATATGCACTAGCTGAAACTCTTTTACTTTACCCAACGAAGATTCGCCTAAGAATACAAATTCAGCTAACGCCCTGCAGACAGGTGGGCCCAACACACAGAGGAACCCAGCTAAAACTCTGCATTTTATATTTTTCCCATTTATGCTCAGTGGAGGTAACAGAGCAGAGTTGGAGCCCGTGGGCTGCTATAGTGGTTGCACAGCAACCAAGTCCAGGAAATACGGCACTGTAGCTCTACTCAGCTGGCTGCTCTCATTCCAGAGCTCGTCGGATAAGGTAGGTAACTGCTTTGACTCTGTTTAACCATTCCCTTTGTGGGGAGTTCAGCTCAGGGGATTGGGGAGGGGTTTAAACAACATTTAGGCAAATGACTCCACGCAGGGATAATGGAGCAAAGAACTGCTAGCCAGCTGGGAAAAATGAGTCAAGCATCTATTCGGTTTTGTTTGCTCACAGGCATAACCTATTCATACAGTGTATTTTGCCACAATATTCCCCACCATACACAGTAGCAGAAGAGGAGAGAGAAAGCAGTGTTTGTTGGTTAGAGCACAGGACTAAGGTTCAGCACTCTGGATTCAATTCCTAGCTTTTCCACTGACTCTCTCTGTGACTTTGCCGTGTCACTTAGTCCACTTTCTATGTGCCTCCATTTGTCCATCTGTAAAATGGGGTTAAAACTACCGCTCTGCTAGTAGCTCAAATGACTTTTGTGAGACTTAACTAACTAATGCTGGTGAAGCATTTTAATCTTCTCGGATGAAAGGTGCTTCATAAATAAAATATTGTTTATTAGATTGTTATAGTTTTCAACAACCTATCTACAGAAATACCACTACTCAGAATCCTCTATAAAAATACCAAGTGGCTGAAAGCAAGAAATAACAATTCCTAGCTTCTCTGGGAGTTTATACCTAGCTTCCTTCCAATCCCCACATTCAAGTGCTACTATTTAGATACCTTCCCTCCACTGCAAATAACCTGTGTAGATTTTAATTGAATCCTACCCCACTACTGTGATAAAATGGTGACATTTTGTCAGTGGAGATTATATATGATTTGTAATTGTTACTCAGACCTGAACTAGGGCTTTTATTGTAGAATAGTGTCATGCACTTTATATGGGAAGCTCCTTCCACAGCTCTGTTTCTAATCTAAAGCAACAGGCCAAGGTCTCAGAACAAAGTCCAGCAATAATGTAGCTATGCCGATTATACAAGCACATTGTCAGTGTTCAGACCAGATACAGCACTGGCATGGCACTCTGAAGCAGTCTGAGACATTGGGGAACTTATAACTGTAGTCTGTGTGTGTTTGATTCATTACTAGGGCTGAAGAAAGAGTTAAAACAGGGAGGAAAAAACCTACCCCATTCTTTTGTGTATTCCATAGGAAACCAAACATGGCATCTTCTATGAGGAGCTTGCTCTCAGACCACAGCCGATATGTCGAAGCTTTTCGTCTGTTCCTTGAGAATTCGACAGAGCACCAATGCATGCTGGAATTCGTTGAGAAGAAGCTGCCGGGCATAATATCGAGGTAACCGAGTCAGATGTTTTATCAAAAGGACAAACCCTTGATACAATTCTGTACAAGTGATGAATGTATGCTTCTGACTGCAGGAGCCTGGGCTTGCAAGGGCTGCCTGAGAGTTATAGATTGCCCTTTTTTCCCCCTCTCCCCCCTCTGTAGATCTTTGATAGTGCTTTAGTTAGAGATTTTATTTAGACACTCCACTGAAAGGCCTCTTTTTGTGATGAGGTCTGACTAGAATCATAGAATATCAGGGTTGGAAGGGACCTCAGGAAGTCATCTAGTCCAACCCCCTGCTCAAAGCAGGACCAATCCCCAACTAAATCATCCCAGCCAGGGCTTTGTCAAACCTGACCTTAAAAACCTCTAAGGAAGGAGATTCCACCACCTCCCTAGATAACCCATTCCAGTGCTTCCCCACCCTCCTAGTGGAATAGTGTTTCCTAATATCCAACCTAAGCCTCCCCTGCTGCAACTTGAGACCATTTCTCCTTGTTCTGTCCTCTGCCACCACTTGCGAACAGCTGAGCTCCATCCTCTTTGGAACCCTTCAGGTAGTTGAAGGCTGCTATCAAATCCCCCCTCACTCTTCTCTTCTGCAGACTAAATAACCCCAGTTCCCTCAGCCTCTCCTCATATGTCATGTGCCCCAGCCCCTAATCATTTTCGTTGACCTCCGCTGGACTTTCTCCAATTTGTCCACATCTCTTCTGTAGTGGGGGGCCCAAAACTGGATGCAATACTCCAGGTGTGGCCTCACCAGTGCCGAATAGAGGGGAATAATCACTTCCCACGATCTGCTGGCAATGCTCCTTCTAATACAGCCCAATATGCCGTTGGCCTTCTTGGCAACAAGGGCACATTGCTGACTCATATCCAGCTTCTCGTCTACTGTAATCCCCAGATCCTTTTCTGCAGAACTGCCGCTTAGCCAGTTGGACCCCAGCCTGTAGCAGTGCCTGGGATTCTTCCTTCCTAAGTGCAGGACTCTGCACTTGTCCTTGTTTAACCTCATCAGATTTCTTTTGGCCCAATCCTCCAATTTGTCTAGGTCACTCTGGACCCTATCCCTACCCTCCGGCGAATCTACCTCTCCCCCCTGTGATGGTACCTCCCATAAGGCTTTATGGAAATATGCATATGAATGTATATATATAACATAACTAGAATGTGTTTTATACTACTTATGCCATGTAACATATCTCTGTAAAGGTTATGATCTATTGAATCTATTAATCCTATTTGTATGCATGTATCATTTTTGTATTGGAAGTTATGAATATTGGCTGCATATTTGCTTGATTCTAAGTAGGCTGGTAGTGAAGCAGTTGGTAGCAGGAAATAGTTAGATTTAATTGTTTCCTTGTATGCAAATATAACTTAGATTTAATAAACACTAATGTACAAAAAATATATTAACAAACTGCATAGGATTTTAATAATTTTATTTAAGGCTTTTATGTTTATAAAAAACAGATAGCATTTTAACTGAAATTAAAGATTCTCTCTGGCTTTCACACAATCTATTTACTAATCAAATAAGCTTACGGACTACCTTCCCTTGAAGGCCTGGGGTGAAATCTTGGATCCATGGAAATCAATGAGAGCAGGATTTCACCCCTGGTTTCTGTTCCCAACTCAGCCGATGCTTTGTAATGGGATCTCGAGCAAGTTACTTAACCTCTCTGTGCTTCAGTTTCCCCATCTGTAAAATATAAATACTTTTGCAAAGTACTTAAAAAAAGCTAAAAGTGCTTTTATAGTCTACATGCAAAATACAGCCGGTTGAAATTTTCCCAACAGAACAGTTTTCAGTTCTGTTGAATCAGCATTTTCCAGTGGAAATGTTCCATGGGAACGTGTTGATTCCATCAACTTTCCTGCCAGCCTGTCCGGCTTCCTGGGATCCTTGGCTCCTCAGCTCCATGGCTGTCTGCCTGTCACAAGGGGGGCTACCTACGCTTGCCAGCAGGCTGGCTTCCCAGCTGCTCAAGCAGGCAAAGGAGCTGGACAGCCCAGCCACCCACACAGCAGGCAGCTGGCAAGTCCAGGAAGTGTGAACGTTTTATTGTTTCCGAAACAATTATTTTGGAATTTCAGTCTCAGGAACGATTTAGTTTTCATCCTGATTTAGGAAATCTCATTTTCAAAAACTCAAAATTTATCACAGGATGGAAGTTCTGTTTCCCGGCCAAGTTCTGATTCTCAAAACCCATTCTCCCAGAGACAGAGGGAATTGCAGGGCTCGTGCTTCAGAATCTTTTTTAGCTGTGTGTAAGCCCTCCGGCCTGTAGCCTGAGAGAGAAGGGAGTGCTGTTGTGATGGTTCTCGGGGGTACCTAGGGCTGTGACTCACCTTCTTACCCCCTGCCTCCCGTGGTAGGGAGCCTTCCCTGTGCTGAGCTCAGCGACAGCTTCCCAACACTGCCAGCTTTCTAGCCACTCAAGTGCTCTCCTCTGGGCTACGCCTGTAATATCCAGCCCCATCACTGGCTACTCACATAAATCCCTGGTCTGCTGTCCCCGTGAACCACGTACACACCAGGCTGTAAGATTCAGCTCTGGTCCAGCATTTCTGACACCACAGCAGCTAGGTATATCTGTAGTGTAGACACGAATAACATTATTATCAAAGATTCAAGTGATAATGAGTAAAGTATTAGAAACAAAAGGTTACATGTAAAACAATCATAACATGCTTTCTAGAGACCAACAGGTTAAACTCCTGTTAAAGACATTCTCTCACCCAGGGTCTTTTGCAGCTTTAAAACGAAGGTTAGCTGATAAACTGCCTGTTTACTTCCAGGATAAGGAGGTGTCTTCTTTGCCTTCTATTTATACTGCCAAGTTCAATGTCTGCCCTCCCGCGGCTTGTTTTTCTTGTGTGCTGCTTCCCTGTTTACTTCACATCTCTTTGGCTTTGTATATAAGTGGGCATCCATTGGGTTTCTTAACATGCTTAATTTACATACTGACAGAGAGAGAGGTGAATACACATCTCTTATCTGACAGCCTGTTTTTTCACCTCTTCTGGTGACTCATACCTTGAAACAGAATCGAAGAACATATTTTCAGTGTGTATGTATACACACATAACGCCTTACATAGTATCTGCACATACATTTGGCAATGATGATAAAGACAGCGACTCAGCTTTCATTTAAGACCTCACTGACATTCTTCATTGAACCAGAATGTACCTGTCAGTCTCAAGATATTCCTATTACTCCCTCACCAGCTGTCATTAAAGGGTTCTTAGGTCACACCTCCCCTCTTACAATGCAGTAGAATCAGCCACAACCCTCTAAAAAGAGGTAAAATTCTGATCCCACTGAAGTCAATGCGAGTTTTGTCATTGATTTTAACAGAGAAAGGATTTCACCCCAGTCATTAATGACCTCCTCCTAGCTAAAGTCAAGGTGTGCTGCTTTATTAGTCTAGATTGCTTGGCTGCATTTACCACAGCAGATCATTCTCTGCTCCGCCTTCTTTTCTCTTGGCATCTCTGACTCTGCTGTTTTCCTGTGCCTCAGTTTCTCCATCTGTAAAATAAGGATAATACTGACCTCCTTTGCAAAGGGCTTTGAAAGCTAGAGATAAAAAATGCTGTACAAGATCTAGGTATTCATGTTTTTGTTCAATAGAGTTACTCTGGATTTACACAGGTATAAATAAGGCCTATGTGTGTGTGCTACTAAACAAACATTAAAACAAAGTCCATGCTCTGAATAGCTTATAAACCAAAGCCATGATCAGGTGCAATCAAGTACAATACAAACATATCCATTATATATATACACACACACACAATTTTGCATATGTCCGAGGACACACTCCCCTCCAAGATGGAAGAAAACGTGTGGTGGGCCCAGTTTGTTTTCAGCCCTAAGACATGCAGAACTCCCATGGATTGCCTGAGTAATGACTGAATAAACACTGAGCATGAATCCTTAGCCTGGCTCTATGCCTGCCATGCACACTTATAGTTCTATGTTAATATAAAGCAACACATATCTGTGTACATTGTCTTATTGTGGGGTGTGCGTGTGTTTTCCTAAGGGTGTTAAATCTTTGCAGTAATGAAAAGAATCTATTAAATATCTAGCCTAAAATACGCAAACCTATTTTTGTTTTCAGCATTGGAAGTGGAAAGTCTGCCATCAATATTCTAAGTGTAGGTGGTGGTTCAGGTACAGTAAAACCTTTGTATATATTTATTTTTTCCTGTGGGAATATTGGATGGCAAATCGCAGATGAGAATCGACACCACAATGGGCCTGGGTGGATGCACCTTTCCTTGAAAAAAATGGGTTCAAATCCAAACTTGGCTCACTAGTAAAAACAAGGTTTCTGGTGATATTGGCTGCTGTCCACCAAACAAAAGCATCACACAGCTGTCAATCTGTACTCAGAATAAATCCATGGGAATAGCAGAGCAAATTTATAGGCTTATTAGAGTTACCTTCATAAAGTAATCTATAGCAACTGGCGGATTACTCGACTCAAAGACTAACCTATTCCATGTTACTACTTAGAGACTGGTTCCTGCTCACCCTTAGTTGCTTGAATAATAGTTTGTCGGTTTGAGGGACTGGGAAATCCACTGGAGCCCAACATGTACCTTCACACACCCACTACCTTTATTTTCACACAGCAGGAGTCCTGCAGAGATTCTGTGAGGCTGGGGCGTGAAAGGGGATTATGTTGCAGTTGAAGTATTCCCCCCCACCCCCCAAATGCTGAGGGCCTGGGCTCACTACTCAGTGCTGTGTAAGGCAGAACTCCTGTTGATTGCCTGAGTAAGGAGTGAATACAAAGCAAGCAAAGATTTGGGATTTAGCCCCATGTCTGCCATACACATCTACGGATCTGGCAGGTTCGGATTATCGTCTTTAGATAAGAAGAGAAGGGGAAAGGAAATCAAAAGAAAGGGAAAGAAACTAATTCTGTAAATTCTCTTAATCTTCTATATCCCATCCACCACACAATGAGGGACACAGTGCTTGGTCCTAATATGTGTGTCCGTCCCAGGTATGTGTGTACAAGCAGGGTACAAGGAACCGCCTCCTGCCCCTCACAAGAAATCTCTCCCTGAGCTCCCTCTGTGGCACTATCCTCTACTCAGGACTGTGCCTAGCTGGCTCAAGTTAGCCCAGAGTGTTCACACACAAAAACCAGTTCACATGGCTGTCCTATCTCCCTTCATTTTTCATCTTGCCAAGCTCATAAAATCCCTTGAACCTTCACATAAATCAGTCTCTCCTGTAACTCGTTCAGTTTTACTGTACTTCTGTGCACTACCTACACAGAACTGATTCCTTCTGCATCTTTAGGTGCCAAGGACGGAGCAGATCATGAATAAAGTTTAAAAAAAAAAACCCACAAACCTATTTCCTTCCTGGTACATAAAGACCTCTGCGTATGAACTCTAAAATCTCTAGATTTGGCTTTGTTCCTGCTGTCACATTACATTACAAGTTCATATGAATAATCACTGACCATGCTCACCACAAAGGCCTCTTATAGAAATTACTGGTTCCCAAGAATTCCTATGCTTTAGATAGTTATAATGCCATCAAACATGCATCTCTGAATCCTCATTTGCTGATGAGATACTGTGCAGGAGACAGACACTTTGAGCTTGGTCACATAAGGTTTTTTTCCCCCTAACATTTCCCACTATTGTTGCCCCCAGTTCTGGTCCACTAGTGGGGTAGTGATGCTAGGGTAGACAAGGTATTGGTAGCCACCATCTTTTCAGCCACTGTGGTGTCTGGGTGCTGTTGAAAACCTGAAGGTATATATGTAGATAAATAAGGGAGTGGCCTCACTACATGATATGCCTTCCTAAATACTGCTTACATAAGTCTCCCCACTTAATACCGATGTCCTTTAGTTCTAGTCTGCCCATTAGACTCTATTAGATCAACAAATTTAAAGTAACCCTTAATGTAATTTAAATGCTTTAGTCATGTCATCTCTGAAGACTAATCTCATTTTTTTCAATCTTTCCTTACAAGTAAGAATAGCCATGTGTAAACGCCGAGTAATTAGTAATAACCTTGACAGTGAGACAGAGTAGAGAGATTTATTTCTAAACAAGGGGGATCATTTTATGCCAAAAAAGTGTTGTTTCTCACAGGATCATTTGAGTCAGTCAGTGGGGTGTTTAACTATCTAATCAGAGAGACGCATCTTAGTGTGACAGACACTGATTCAATAAAGTGGCAATTGCTCATTTTGCCATAACCGAGAAGCTGGATTCTCATTGGCTCTGAGAGTGGACTAAAGTCATATGCTAAACTCAGGACAGCTCATTTGCTCAACTACCGTTATACTTTAAGAATAAGCTGTTTTCTGATTTGCTGAGGTTTCTCTCCCCCACCCTGAGTGTCTGTGAGTCAATAAGGAAGGTTCAGCTGTTCGTTATTTTAATGGGTTCACACCACTTTCATGTAGCCTCAGGCCCATATTGAGGCCAGTATGAAGCTGTAAAACCCTGTGAGAGCTCAGTAAAGATTGCTCTTCCTGGGGCCTCATCCCCTTCTGGGCCCTCCAGCATGCAGGGAGCATGATTGTTGCTGGTCCTTGGTGCAGAGAGTACAGGTGGATGGATGGCTCCAGGCACTCATCCTGCTTCTCTCATCCCTAGTGCACCCACACTAAGGCCAGGCACGATCTGGCCATTCAGTGTAGCTGTTTGGGCCCATTATAACCAGACGATGGAGAGAGTCTGCTGTTGACTACAGCTTGTGCCTTATTAAGTTTCCACTTCAGTGCACAGCATCCTAATGTTGCTGTACCTGTAAAAAACATAAAAGGCATCAACTGTGCTGTATACTATCCCTTTATTTAAAATTTTTAATTAGAAACTTGATGGTGAACATAGTGATAGCCTTTAAAAGGTAATTGTATTAGAGAGTTTAAATACTTCCAATAGCCTAATTGCCAAATTGTTGATAATGCAAGCTGCCGCATATTTGACTATAAAATGCCTCAGGACACCTGTTTGCATATAAAAGAACTCACTGAAGTTAATTAAGGCTGTAGATTAAGTCATGAGTCAAAGTTTTTTTGTTTCAAAATAACGTAAAGGTGGTGTGGCCATGAAGAGTAGAAATTTCCATCAACATATGGAAATGGGAAATTCAGATTTTATTTTACTGAGACTGGTACAGCCTTTCCAAGGGGATATTTTTTTTTTACAGAAGGTTGATACAGAAAATGAACTCTGTAGTAGTTAGTTAACAATTCCATGTTCCCAGATTTTCCCACAGCAGACTGTGAACAAATTAATTTGCTCTGATTTTCAATAAAAAGCAATTTTGTGGTGATAGCAAAACCATAGCTATTTGTTACTTCTGAAATTCAATTTCCCTTTCTTGAAAGAACATGCTTACACAAATGCCATGTAAACATTTGTTTTTAAAAAGATAGTTAGCTCTGAAAAGATTAAACCCTTCCCCATGTTTTTATGTGCCTGTAATAGGGCCTTATTCACACACAAATAGTGCAAGACTTGAACCCTTCGACTGTAGTGTGAAGTTAAAAACTGTAGTGGCATGTAGCAGAGCGCAGCAGGGCGCCCATGGTTCCTGCCTCTGCCAAGTCTACAAAGTCACTCTGAGATCCTGGGGTTAGTAACCACTGGTGCAGTTTATTCACAGGGTTTGTTCCCACCACTGTTTCACAGTTGGCCCTTCACCATCTGCAGGCAAAAAGGAGGGGAGAACGACCTCCCTGCTTCCACTCCCTGCCTTTTCCCTTTCTTTCTGCTCTTTCCCCCCCGCCCCCGTCCCGCCCTGAGGCTTTTATACAGCCCCAGGCTAATTACGCGGCAGCTGTCTCTGCTTCCCCAATTAGGGCCAGGTTATCTCCAGCCATCTCTAATCTATCCCCCTAAATAGGAGCTGGCGTGACAGAGGGCTGAATCAGAAACCCTTTGCCCAGCACCCTGTCACATGACATATAGTAGGTCCAGAAGCAAGGCATGGACCTCTTCATGTCTGCAGTGGTATGACGAGAAGAAGGATGGTCCAGTGGTTAGGTCGCTAGCCTGGGACGCAGGCGACCTGAATTCAATTTCCTATTCTTTTGCCAACTTCCTGTGTTACCTTGGGCAACTCTGTGCCTCAGATCCCCGTCTGTAAAATGGGCATAATAGTACTTCCCTACCTCACATGGTGTTGTGAGGCTAGATAAAGTGAAGACATAAGGTGCTTAGATAATGGGAGTCATAAGTACCATGTGTACCAAAAGAAGTCACATTAAACCAAGCTGGTGGGGAGAGGGGGAGGAGGGAATGAGCATGTGAAAAGTTGCCTGCTTGCCTCCAGGAAGGTTAGCCAGCCACTCTCAAACACATCTGTATCTCTTCAACTTACCAAATTCACCCCAGTTATCCATTTTTGCCTAAGTACATTAATGCTGCTTGACTCCACCTACTCAGTTGGAAGTCCATTCCAACTATTCACCATCCCTCCATAAATTCTTCTTGCATACAGTCTCTGTTATCATAAATCTCTGTCCATAGTCCTACGCTTGATTGAGTGTCAAACATTTTATACTTTAACATCGTTTAAATACTTCAATCTTGTCGCCTTTCATGACTAAGTTCAGCTGCTCCTTGTAAATAAGACCCTCTATTCAATTTTTCATTTTAGTTGCCCTCTGTTTTCACTCTCGACCTTAACTGAACGTTTAGACAAATAAGGTGACCAACACTGAACACCAAAACTAGGCAGCCAGTGCAATCTAAGCAATGCCTTTATAAAGTGTTACAGCACAGTGTCCTTGGCATCCTTCGTCATACAAATGAACGTCTTATTTGCTTGCTTTACTGATGCTGCATATTGGACTAGGAATTTAAATGTTGGCCTATCAATACACTCATCAATAACATCACTGCAGCAGCTTTGAATGATCCCTTGTGTACAGAGAAAAAGCAGCCAGTGCTGTTATATTTGCTTTATGCTGTATACAGAGACACACAGTATTCAGCTTAGTCAGTCACAGAAAGAGCAAAGCACTTTAAGCACCAAAGGAAAAAATGGCGATTTGCTTCAGTTTTCAAATTAATTTTCTTTTTTTCCCCCTTCTCATGTGTCTCATTGGCCAACAAAGACCCCTAATTCACTCTCAAAAATAAACACAAAAGACTCTCCAAATGGCCTTGTAAAATACAAATAGGGGAATACTGTGATGGCTTAGAGATTTTCTAATAGGACACGGAGCTTTTTACCTCTGGTTCATTGTTTCCACACCAGCCTGGGTTGGTAGTGACTAGAAAAGGGGCAGATCTGCAGTTTGGATCCAGATCTATACTTTGCCAAAGATCAGGGATGATTGTATCCTGGATTTTGGTATTGACCACTCTCTAATAAAACCAGATGACAGCTATTTAGTGGCATGTGTGAAACAAAATAGGAGGTTCAGTCCATTTTTGAGAGGACGTGTACATATCACTACAGAACATCACATCTGATACCAGTGTAATAGTGTCAGAAAAGTCAGACTCATGAGGGACTGATGGAATTAATCTTCAGTCCCTAGAGATAATCTTCCAGGATGGGGTTGAAGAAATTCAATGAGAGCAATATGTGGAAGACTACACTGCCAATGTCCGTGTGATACCTGTCCAGTACATAAATAGTGGATTTAATCATCATGGCAATTGATCTGAGACCTACATTTTCTTTTAAAAAAAAGAGGGATTTTGGGAAGGATGATAGCTAGCAGAACCCTCACATTTAACCTTGCTCTGATTTTTTTATTCTGTTTCATATTTGTATCCTAGGTGAAATTGACCTTCAGATTCTCTCAAAAGTACAGGCTAAATATCCAGGAGTTACCATTAACAATGAGGTGATAGAGCCAAGCGGTGAACAAATCCTCAGCTACAAAGGTATTTGAACTAGCAAATGCATTTAACGAAGTTGAACACTGGCTGACATATCATCTTTATAAGGCTTTTTGTTCCAATTTCACCTCAACAAGAGGAAAAAGTTACTATCTTCATTTAGGATTAGTAATTTTTCAACTGTATTGCTGAGTCCTGCCTTCTTAGCAATGTCCTAGTTCCTGATCCTGCAAAGAGCGCTGCATGGACAAACCTTATAACTACCCAGATGCCTCTGCTTATCTCACACTTTTTATGGCACAGTATTTATCAGTATGTGCAGTGTTAGACGCTATCTGCAGCCATGCCTCCTTACATGGCTAGGTGGTCAGATTTTATAAACTAGACAGGGTTCAGTAACTGGATGAGAGAGCTATAAGTAAAACCCTAATGTTTTAGGATGTAGTGTTTGTGTTTCAGTGGTGTGGTGCTCTTCCCTCAGATGGTACTGACTCAGTGTCCCAGAATAGCATTGAGGGGTCTGCTTGAGATTGTATTTAACAAGAATGCCAAGAATTATTTTTAAGTGGTTTGCAAATATTAACTACCTAATCCTCATAATACCCTACTGAGTTAAGTATAGTCCTCACAAATTAGGTAACTAAGGCATAGAGGTTAATTAGCTTGCCCAAGATACTGACAACGTTAATGTACAAACTGGCATTCAAAAGATCTTTGCTTTCAGTCCTATACTCAGAGGCCTAGAACATGCCTCTCTCCATAAATCAGAGATCCCCACTGATTGTTTTGTGAAAAATGCCCTGGCATACCTAATAAAGTATGAGTGTTTAGTCTTTGCCCTTGGCCAAATTCTCACTGAAGTTTCAACTAAATGTATTCATTTTGATTGCCAATCTTAGCTAGTTATGTACTGTCAAACACCTACTGGGTTCCATCAGTACGTGGCTATACATATTCTGGTGATGGGCAAACTGATTTCTACATATAGATTGTACGCTTTTGGAAGCAGGGCCTGTGGCCAGCCTTGCTCCTCGTGGGTGCAGACCAGTACCAGATCAAAATGTGCAAGTGATTTTAACAAAGCATGTTCTTCTGAACAAGTGGTGCACATCTTAGGCTGAATTTACCACTGTGATGCAGGGCTGCCCAGAGGATTCAGGGGGCCTGGGGCAAAGCAATTTCGGGGGCCCCTTCCATAAAAAAAAGTTGAAATACTATAGAATACTATATTCTCATGGGGGGCCCCTAAGGGGCCCGCGGCCTGGGGCAAATTGCCCCACTTGCCCCCCCCCCCCCTCCCCCGGGCAGCCCTGCTGTGATGCTGCCGTTTTTATGCTGCTATAACTACTGGAAACAACATAGTTACACTGCCATAAAACTGGGAGTGCAGTGGTGAATCAGGCCCTTGAGTCAGTAAGCCCACTCTAAACACACTTCCCTCTTCCTAATATTCAGTCTTTGTACACACATTAAAACAATGCTGCAAATGTTTCTCTTATTACTCTCCTGTAATTAGCATCACTCTAAAATACCCTCCCTTTCTTTCATTCTTCAATACAAGACCCTGAACGAAAGGCCTGGCTCTGAACACACTTAAAATGTGGAGAAGTTGGGATGAGGACCTAAACATTGTTCCTTTCTGTAATGGACCGAACTAAAGCTTGGGTCCAGGCACTAGGATTTTGAGGAAGCTGGAGCCAGATTAAGTTCCTAACTTCCAAATTTTTGCTCATTTCTACTGAAAAGTCTCTACAGCAAAGAGTGTCAAAGATAAAGGCATCAGATCCCATTTGTACTTCATCCTACAAAGACTTGACCAGTCAGTCCCTCACAGAACTGGGCCGATCTTTACTATGTATTACCTTTATTTGTTCACATACTATAACATATAGGCTTCATTTTTAATATTCTGTTATTACATTAAAAATGATGCCAACATGTAACTTTTGGCTACATTACAATTCTGAATGGAAATTGTTTCCACATTTGCAAATGGGATCGACTAAACGCCATCCTCTCTGTATTTTAGAACGTGTAGCTAAGACACCGAACCTTGAGAACATAAAGTTTACCTGGCATAAGGAGACGTCGTCTGAATACAAAAGTCGAATGAATGAGAAAAAAGTGCTTAAGAAATGGGACTTTATTCACATGATTCAGGTAAAAGCTATGCATAGTAAATGTTGTTGAAGTCCGTCTCTACAGAGTATGCCTAAGGTCAGTGACCTCATTGTGCACTTTAATGAGAAGAAAGGTAAAGAATTATTAAGAAATAAACTCAACCTACAAGTGAGCAGCAAAAATGAAAACTGAGTAGCAAGGCAACTTTAGGGTTTAGTAGCCTCATTAACCAGGCTAAGGTGGCAGTCAGCAGAGATGTAAATGTTAACTAATGTTTTTTTAAGTTTTCCCTCTCTGTATTTCTAGGTTCACTGAAGTTATCACAGACAGTGTTTTCACTGCTAAAAATCTGTGTATTCCCCCCCCTCAGAGTAACTAATGCAGGTGAGCTAACCCAAGGTAAAAACACAGTGGAGACAAGGCACTGTAGTTTTACCATCAGTTAAACTATGTGAGGTGAGCACTATATCCCCACCTGGGCTTGACCTTGCCTACCTTATCTGTGCCTTGTCTCCACTGTGGTTTTGCCTTGGAATAGCTCAGCTGTATTAGTTACCCTGAGGTAAAAAAGGTAAAGACAAGGCCCCAGTGAAGACAAAGCCCCAGAATGATTAATGATGTCACAGAAAGATGCGTTTGTGGACCAGACATTGCCAGAAGGATTTCGGGAAGGGGGCAGAGAAGAATGTTAGCAAACATTAAATTAAACACTTCTGTGCTGAAATCGCCGCACAGCCTGGTTAGTGGTGTCATTCAGAAAATTACAGAACCTTAACACCACTTCCCTGGAGCGTGAGCTATTGCATGTCGTTTCATTCTAGGGACAACTTTTCTTAAATAGAGTCCCTGATCCATACTACTTCTATTGCAGTCAAGTGGAGTTTTACTACTGATTTCAATGGGAGCAGGATTGGGTCCAAGGTGTTTTGGCACCTTCTTGGTTTTCTAGGCATGGTAATTAGACAAGTGAGAAGGAAAACGCAGTCCCTTTAAGTGGTCAGTGCTTCTCCATTGATGAGAGGGCTAACAGTCTGGTCATAAAAAAAGTAAACTCTCCACTTCTGTGATGGAGCTGTCCCAGGTGAGCAGAAATCCTAGAGTGGTAATCATGTCACTCTGTATTGTACATAACCTACATTATTCTGGACACATCCTATTTTTATTGGCTAGAAATGGCATCATGAGCAAAACTTTCAGCAATTACACAAAAGTTCTAGGTTTCTTTTTTTTAAAAGGTATCCAATGCAAACCTGGACAAAAAACTTAGGGCAAGACCGTCACTTGCCCAACACACCCAGGCAAGGTGTAAGGGGGCATAAGACACCCCCTCACTCCTCTGTGCAGGGTACCCATGTTGCTGCCAAATGTGAGCAGCCGCCTCCTCTCATGCAGATGGATGGGAAGTGGGCGGAGCTTATACATTGCCCTCCCCCACAGCGCGTCAGTCCACAGAGCTGAGCTGGTGCAGAGAAGGAAGTTATCTGCTCCAGGTCAAGAGGTGCTCCAGCTTACTTACTTACTGGAGCAAAGGGGGAACCAGGGACCAAATTGTGGCTCTGAGCAACTACCTGATGCCTCTTACTCAGGGCTTGTAGTAAATCCACTTACGTTATTTAGGAGCTGACCCTTAGGGTTGCCAACAGTCCCTTATTACAAGGGACATCCCTTATTTTTTCATCTTTGTTCAACAAGAGCAGGAGTTGCTGCAAGCTTCTCCCCCCGACATAGCTATTGCTGCTCATGGGGGCTGGAGTAATTAAGCTGAGAGAGCAGTCGCCCAGTCAGCTTTGAGCAGCTACGTTAGAGAACTTACAGAGGCGTAGCTGCATTGGTACATCTGCAACTCTGTGAGCTCTCTAGTGTAGCTGTAGCCTCAGCTTCCTCTCAGGGATACCTCCCACTGCTGCTCCCACTATCTGCTCATTTTCTGCCTCCTTTCTGGCTACACACAGACAGACGCTGCCCACGCCCCTGCATTTGCCATCAATCTCCAAGGAACCTGTCAGGCTTGGAGTATTTATTTTACAGTATTTCTTTTCATTTCCAGATGCTCTACTATGTAAAAGATATCCCTGCTACTATTAAATACTTTCACAGTCTGCTGGAAGCTAAGGCTAAGCTCCTTATTATTCTCGTATCAGGTAGGTGATCTTAAGTGGGTTCTTTCCACACACAGTGCAGATCTGAATGTGCACCTATGAGGACTGTATGTGTTCATGTGTGCACACATCTGAATTCGTCATAGGCCAGTTCTCCATTAACTTAATTCCTGTACTATAGAGCTTAAGCTCCTAGCTTAGTGAACTGCCAGCCAACTAGACATGTATTATGTGTGTGTGTGTGTTTTATATACAGTAGACTGTATGCCTCAAAGTCCACAAAATAAAAACAGAACTTTGTGAAATTCACAAGTCAGAATCTTGGCAACTTCGTTTGTAAAAAAAATTGTTCCCTGACCACACACAATGTCTCTCTTTGCAATACATTCAAAAATACTGCTATAAAAACAAGGACAGTGATAAACTCATAATAGACAGACAATGAACCAAACAGGCTTGATCCTGACACTCTTACTCAAGTAAGTAGTGCCATTGATATCAGTGAAGCTATTCGTGCATTAAAGGTTACAGGATCAGGCACAAAGACTTGTAACTCTTAGACACGTGGCATTAAGCAAACAGCAGCAATGGTGCCCTGTTGTGCCATACAACAGGTGTTGGTGGACATATGGTCCATTTTCCCCTTTAACTGCCCATTTCCTTAATATCATCATTTTGTGGAAAATCTCATCTGCAGAATTAGATTGGCTGTTTCACATCTGATTGAGATACTGTATGATCGATTCAGTAGCAAAATGGAAAAACAGAATAAGTTAGGATTCTACAGTACTGTGACATCAGATGACTATGGATTTATTAGCATTACCATGACTGGAGTCTAACATAACCTCCTGGGAAATTTCTCATACAGTTATATGGGATTTTCTGACGCTAGGATACAGTAACGTGTAATCGTTGCTAGGATATGTAAACGTTCACCTATGATTGTCTTGGCAAGGCCCTTAGGCAGCTAAATACCTTTGAGGAACTGGGCCTCAGTGCTTAAAGTTTTGTTTTTATTAGATTTGGGGAAATTTGTAATGTATATTTTAAATAATGAAGTTCACCCCTTTTTGTGTTCGAGAAAATTGTGCTTTTTGCAGGCAATTCATAAAGGTACTATTCAAAATTGTTTTTGAATCATTTTTGGCTGGTAGCTTGTTAGCAAGCTGTTCACTGCAAGTATTCCATATTTAAAATTACAATAGTTTACATTAGACACACAGGTGACATGTTTCAGTTCCGTGATTGCATCAGCATAACTCTTAAAATCAGGTTCCTGGCACAAATACCCGGAAATCTGAATTTGAAATTTCTTGTCCATGAATGTTCTGGGATATTCACTTGACTCCCTTCAAGCTACCAGTAAATGTATTCACTGGAATATTCATGGAAGGCAAACACAAAAAAGGGCATGAACACAGTCAAAAGGAATTTTTACAAATTTGAACTAATGCATAAAATATTTGCAGTCCTCACCCAGCGTTACAGTTTTTGCATGGTATTATTCCTTATTGTACTTCTCTCTGAAAATGCAACTCATAATTCACGATTGCATGAGTCAATCTACATCTACAAGTAAGGCTGTTAGAAAACATATGTGAACAGTCATGATTGCTGTGTCTAGAAGTCTGAGTTATGTGTCACAAGTTTTGATAGGCCAGCCCTCCCACCTGAGTCAGAACAAGAGTCTCGAGGGTAGGATTTCTGACCTAGAGTGGCCTTTTACCTGGAGAGAGGTGGACTGGTGACAAGGAAAGGAGGAAGATAATGGAATAGAGAAGAGCAGAAAGCAATGGAACCAACAAGGGAAAGGAAAACTGAATCAGAGGCAGCTTAGAATAGCAGAGAATAAAAAAATAAATAAAACTAAGGAAGAGGAAAAAAGAAGGGAAAGAGAAGAGCTTCAGAGAGAATGAAACAGGAAGAGAAGGGTGAGATGGGAAAACTACAAGAAAATAAACAGGCAAAAGCAGTTTCAAAATATAGCTCCCTCAAACAAACAAACAAAACAAACAATCAAACAGAAAAACAACCTGGGACTAAAAAGAGAAGAATTAATAAGGATACATGGTCTCTCTATGACAGTTTCAGTCCCTCCAACTCACTCTGTACTTTTCGAGAGGCCAGGACAGCTACAAGAGTTAAGTTGTAGTGTTTTTAATCACAAATCAAAAAAACCCCCATTCAGTTAACATCATCTTGAAAACAAAAGTAGTGCCATATGTTGCGCCTACAGAGAGCTATTATAATGATGCTTCACTCAAGTAGTGTATAATTGCTCCACTCAGAAATGGCACCAAGTAACTGAACACTGACACCAGCAACTTTTCTCCAATTAGTGCTCTGCATTCATTTTCAACCAGGTGAAAAAAAAATATCATCAGAGTCTCCTCTAAACCACTGAAGTATTTATTATACTGTAGGTAACTGTTTACAGATAAAGCCAGTTTTGGAGACTGGTTTATTAGTTAAGGGAATTTAGAGTCCTATCTCTCAGCAGGGCCTCAATTAGGCCTGGATTTATTTCCAGCCCACCCAATCAGGGTGGTGTCATCCTTTTTATAAATGATTTACACTGGAAATGCTGAATCATGGAACTGAGATTAGAGAGAGTAAAGAAATCAATCCTGCATTGTCATCAGCTTCCCTGACTGTTCTTTTTCTAATGCCCACTGTCTCGGTACCTCACTAATTCAAAGTATGTCTCTGCTGTGAAAACGTATGTATGTACAAACGTGTGATCACTATGGGCCAGATTGTGGCTGGTCCTTAGATGCATGTGCAGGATTGGGGAAGGCTATAGGAGCATTCTCATCCCTCCCCTCCTCCCCGCCCCTGCTGCCTTGCAGGGCCGGCTCTAGGCACCAGCGTTCCAAGCATGTGCTTGGGGCGGCACTTTTCAAGGGGCGGCATTCCAGGTTTTTGTTTTTTGCTTTGGCAGCGGCACTCTGGCTTTTTTTTTTTTTTTTTTTTGCTTGGGGCAGGAAAAACCTGGAGCCGGCCCTGCTGCCTTGTACAGCCTGAATAAGAGCCAGCCAAAATAGCAGGCCCTGATTGCTCTCCAGAGGTGCAGAGAGGGAGGAATCTACTCAAGACTGTCCCCCACCAGCTCGTGTAATGGGACTGACGGGGTGTAGCAGCAGACATACTCACCTGTACCCTAAACAGCGTGGTAGAATTTTGAGGTAGAATTTTGCCCTAGCCTTTGGTGCGGCTCTGCACCATCCTTTACTCTGGGCTCTAGGCAACTTGCACAGCCTAACCCTATATAAATATTAGATATAACTAAGTGTTTTGTTTTATCATTTAACAAGCCTTAAACTTAAAACCGTTAAACTGCTGAATAATCCCTGATTTCAGAGTAGCAGCCGTGTTAGTCTGTATCCACAAAAAGAACAGGAGTACTTGTGGCACCTTAGAGACTAACAAATTTATTAGAGCATAAGCTTTCGTGGGCTACAACCCACTTCTTCGGATGCATATAGAGTGAAACATATATTGAGGAGATATATATACACACACATACAGAGAGCATGAACAGGTGGGAGTTGTCTTACCAACTCTGAGAGGCCAATTAAGTAAGAGAAAAAAAACTTTTGAAGTGATAATCAAGATGGCTCAGTACAGACAGTTTGATAAGAAGCAAGTGTGAAAATACTTACAAGGGGAGATAGATTCAATGCTTGTAATGGCTCAGCCATTCCCAGTCTTTATTTAATCCTTTGTTGATTGTGTCTAGTTTGCATATCAATTCCAGCTCAGCAGTCTCTCGTTGGAGTCTGTTTTTGAAGTTTTTCTGTTTTAAGATAGCCACCCGCAGGTCTGTCATAGAATGGCCAGACAGGTTAAAGTGTTCTCCCACTGGTTTTTGAGTATTATGATTCCTGATGTCAGATTTGTGTCCATTAATTCTTTTGCGTAGAGACTGTCCGGTTTGGCCAATGTACATGGCAGAGGGGCATTGCTGGCACATGATGGCATATATCACATTGGTAGATGTGGGTACCCGCATGGCCCCACAGTATGCCAACATTTTTATGGCTGACTTAGAACAACGCTTCCTTAGCTCTCGTCCCCTAACGCCCCTACTCTACTTGCGCTACATTGATGACATCTTCATCATCTGGACCCATGGCCAACGGAAAGGGGTGGCATGTCTGGCTCTTCTGCGGCAATTCGGCGGCGGGTCCCTCAGTCCCTCTCGGAGGGAAGGACCTGCCGCCGAATTGCCGCCAAAGAATGAAGGGCTGGGTTTGTAACGGAATCCTCCCTGAGGCTACTAATGCTGCACAAGCTGTCTTGTGAGTGGGGATTCGGTGGCTGAATCCATCCTATCCCTTCCTCCAAACCCCACTGGGCATTGGTACAAGGGAAGCAGAGGCAGGGGTATGTGGACCTCCTATGCAGATTCTGTGGATCCTGCCCTTTTGCTGCCACACCAGACTGCATTGGTTCCACTGTGTGCAGGCCCATCTACACTCAGGGGTCTTACCCACAGGGCCGGCTCTAGGCACCAGCAAAACAAGCTGGTGCTTGGGGCGGCACATTTTTAGGGGCGGCATGGCCGGCGCCAGAATGCCGCCCCTAAAAATGTGCCCCGGCCGCCCTAGCTCACCTCCGCTGCTGCTGCCGCTCGCTCGCCACAGCTGATTCGCGCACCGCTACTCGCCCTCCCTCCCAGGCTTGAGAGCCTGGGAGTGAGGGGGAGAAGCGGCGCCCGCGCCGCGGCCACTCGGAGTCTCCCCCTCCCTCCCAGGTTTGAGAGCCTGGGGGGAGGAGGTAGGGCTGGGGATTTGGGGAAGGGGCGGAGTTGAGGCAGGGCCGGGGGTGGGGTAATTAAAAAACGGGGGGCGGGGGGCGGCCAAAATTGTTTTTGCTTTGGGCGGCAAAAATCCTAGAGCCGGCCCTGCTTACCCATTTAGTGTAGCAATTATTTTGCATATAGCCTCTGTGCTCCCATGTCATGGGCTGTGTCTCCTGGGCTGTGCCTCCTGAAAGGTTCAGCTCAGAATTGGGGCCATAATGCTTAAAATAATACATCTGAAACTCTGTTTAAATACACTCTTATTTTTAATATGATTTTAATCTGGCAGGAACCAGTGGCTGGGCCAGGCTGTGGAAGAAATATGGACCTCGCTTACCTCTGAACGATCTTTGCTTATATGTTTCATCTGCTGACATCAAAGAGCAACTCAATACAATAGGGCTGAAGTATCAGGTCTATGAGCTTCCATCCACTATGGACATAACTAATTGTTTTATCAAAGGGAACAAAGAGGGGGAGCTGCTGATGGATTTTTTGACAGAAACCTGCTATTTTAGTAAAACCTCTAGTCTAGACCTAAAAAATGAAATAATGGAAGAACTTAAAAAGCCTGAATGCAGTGAAGAGAAAGATGGAAAGGTTTTTTTTAACAACAACTTGAGTGCAATAGTGATTGAGCCATGATTAAGATCTACTGGATTTCTCAGTCCAAAAACAAATGATCATATACAAACAGTTAACCACTTAAATGTCTGTCTGTGTTTCATACTCTATCAATTAAGTTTACTAGGGTATGGCTGAAAGAGTTTATAAACAGTTAGGAAATTAATATTAATAGGTGTGACAAATGCACATTAATACATTACTAATTCTTCAAAAATATATTAATACATAACTTGCTAGTCAGCAAGTTATACTTTCTTATATGGTAGTTCTATAATCAGAATACATATAACTAGCACCATTAATCAAAGCCCAGCAAATGCAAAACAATGCACTTCTGATGGATGGGTAAGGAGTAATACTGACCTTGAACGGATATCATTATAATTTAAATATGCTATCCAGCCAAATAGTTTTTTAAATGAAGTATGTTTGGAAATCTCCAGTAGAACTCCTCAACCTCGCTTACAAAACTCTTCCCCCATAACTACCGATCCTTGGATTGGTTCCTCTGCTACTGATGTGGTTTTGAAGTTGTTGCAACACTGCCTTCAAAACAACATACTTCTGGTTATCTTCTGTAGGCATTAATTGCATGCATCTGCTGCCCTACTAATCAACACCATCTCAAAGCACTGCTCCCCTGTTCACCTATTTCCAAATGTATTTTATTTCACCTACAGCTTCCCTTCCCCATGAATCAGATTCATATACACAGCTGATTCTGGAGAGATAAAGCTATAGCTCTCATAGACCATTTCTCAAAATGAACAGGCTCCCTGGGCAATGGTGATCATAACTTCCATGCATGCAGAATATATTGGCTCTTCACATCAGATGCCCAGATCTCTGCAGCACTGGATTAGAGAACAAGGTAGTATGCAAATCCTTAGTAGGCATGAGTTGCTGCTGATCTTTTAAATCAAAATGTTGTCTCATGTTTGTATTTTCAGTTAGAGAAATATGTATTTCCCCTCATTTCTCTTAACTCTTGTGTAACAAGGGCTACATGTGTCTGGTGGCCTCCATAATGTACAAGATGTAAACATAAAACTTAAAGGACGAAACAGAAATGGCGTCAGTGGGGTTCTTCTTGTTTTCAACAGAGTTACACCAGGGCTGGAGCTGGCCCAGTGTCAGTGGTTTTCAAACTTTTTTTCTGGCGACCCAGTTGAAGATAATTGTTGAAGCCCGTGACCCAACAGCTGAGGATGAGGGGTTTGGGGTGTGGGAGGGGCTCAGGGCTGGGGCAGGGGGTTGGGGTGCAAGAGGGGGTCAGGGCTCTTGACTGGGGACAGGGATGAGGGCTTTGTGGTGCAGGAGGGGGCTCCGGGTTTGGGGGAGGCTCAGGGCTGGGGTAGGGGATAGGTGCAGCAGGGGTACTAAGGCAAGCTTCCTGCCTGGCCTGCCTGCCTGGCACCGTGGACCATGCTGTGCCCCAGAAGCGGCCAGCAGGTCCAGCTCCTAGGCAGAGGCACACAAGCAGCTCCATGCGGCTCTCGCCCACAGGCACCACCACCACCCCGCCCCCCCAGCTCCGGAGTGCGGAGCCGATGCTGGGGCGCGGGCAGAGCACGGAGCCCTGTGGCCTCCCCGCCTAGGAGCCGGACCTGCTGCTGGCTGCTTCCGTGGCACAGTGCAGTGACAGAACAGGTAGGAACTAGCCTGCTTTAGCCGAGCAGGGACTTTTAACGGCCCGATCGGCGGTGCTGACCAGAGCCGCCGCGACCCAGTGCCTTACATTCTGCGACCAGTTTGAAAACCACTGATCTATAATATAAGCTATTCGGCAAGAAGGATCTTTTTTTGAAGTTATCTAAAGACATTGACCCATTTCTGACTCAGGGTACATCTACATTGCAGCTGAGAAAATGAGTCCCAGCTCAGGTAGTCAAACAGGCTAAAAATAGCTAGCTAGCAGGCTAAAAATAGCCACAGAGCTGGGGGTAGCCCGGGCACAGGGGCTGAGTATGTATCTGGGGGGGTTCTGGGCAGGTTTGTGTTTGGGTGCCTAGGCCAAGCTACTGCCCGACCTACCTCCAGCTACAAAGCTATTTTTGTATGCTGGCTCAAGCACACTCCCAGCTGTAGTGTAGACATACCTTGGAGGACTTTCTTCATGCTTCTCAATGCTGGTGAAGTGATTTTATCCTAAATCCCTTCCCTGAACTTCACTGTCTTCACTTCAGTAGTTGATTAATTTGTTTTGATAAATGATTTCATGGTTTTAGTAGCTATTATGCTATATACAAGGTACAGTGCTTAGTGGAATACAATATAGCTGCATGAGTGAATTTAATAGCTTGAATACTCAGTTCATTCAGTGAAGCAGGTGAACTTGATTCAATATTGAAATGGTTTACTGTAGATAATGCTTTAGCTGCAAGATGGGATCTTTAATTTTGTATATACAGCCAATTCAATATCGATGTATTAAATATTTGAGGTGATGGGTGATTTAGTAGGAAGTGTACCAGGCATTACTAGCAATTTACAGTCATGTTGGTGTGACTTGTTTTACATATCTACATCTAGGGATCAAATATTAATCCCAGTGTACTTTATAATGTACCTACTATATTTCACAGCTGCTGCACTGAACAGAAACTACCACTTTTATACAGCAGCATGTGCAGTTTCATGTTAACAGACCTAAATATATCCTGTAATACTATGACAAATTCTGAAAGGGGAGGGAAGGAAATCTCCCCTTCAGACACAATGCTGTATGCATCTCTAATTACAACAGGTGCAAGATTTCAGCCAGTTGTCATCTGTTATGGGTGGTTTGTCCCCTTCAGTGATACAGTAGCTGGAACTCTTGGGAAACACTTGTTGTAATGTTGCCACCAAATCAAAGGGAGGGGTGGGGATGGTTTTATAACACATCAAGAGCACCCTCTCTGGAAGCTGTGCCAATTCATCCCTACCAGAGATGATAGATCCCTGGAAATTTACAGAAATACATTAATATATAACAAAACTTTGACTAGATGGAACATAAGAATGATCAGACCAATGGTCCATCTAGTCCAGTATCCTGTCTGACAGTGGCCAGTGCGAGATGCTTCTGGCACTTGGAGGTTTAGAGACACCTGGAGTATGGGGTTGCATCTCTGATAATTTTGACCAATAGTCACTGATGGACTCATCCTCCATGAACTTATCTAAATCTTTTTTGAACCCAGTTATACTTTTGGCCTTCACAACGGCCTATGGCAATGAGTTCCACAAGTTGACTGTGTTGTGTGAAGAAATACTTCCTTTTGTTTCTTTTAAACCTGCTGCCTATTAATTTAATCAGGTTACCTCTAGTTTTTGGGTTATGTGACGGAGTAACTAACAATTCCCTAGTCACTTTCTCCACACCATACTTGATTTTATAACCTCTTTCAAAGTCCTCCTTAGTCATTTCTTTTTTAAGCTAAACAGTCCATCTTTTTAATCTCTCCTCATAGAGGAACTGTTCCATTCCCCTAAACATTTTCATTGCCCTTCTTGCAGAAAATGGCCTTTTCCTGTTTTGTTGTTGTTGTTGTTGTTGTTGTTTGCTAGGGTTATTTTGGAAGTTACTTTATCTGTAAACTGATCTGTCAGTACAGCTTTATACAGAGGAACAAGGTTCCAAGCCAGTTGAGTGTATTCCAGCATGGTGGGAGAGTTAAGGTTTTCCTATCTCTTACAATTGACCGAGCAGCCAACAGAAAGGTGCTCAACTTCAGCCTATCTATCAAATGCAAGGTTGAAGTGTCCTAAGAAATGAACTTCTGGGTACCAAAAATCTAGTGATGTTTTTGAGGCAATACAGAGCCAATCAGGAGTTAATTTTGGACAAGTCAGCTGATTGTAGTGTTTCCAGCATCTGGAATGTCCATTCTAAGCAATGTTGGCACCATTGAGGGTAACAAGCCTTGTGGATAGGGGGAACCAATAGATGTGGTATAACTTGACTTTAGTAAGGCTTTTGATACTGTCTTGCATGAACTTCTCATAAACAAATGACTTAGGAAATACAACCTAGATGGAGCTACTATAAGGTGAGTGCATAACTGGTCAGAAAACCATTCCCAGAGCGTAGTTATCAGTGGTTCACAGTCAAGTTGAAAGGACTTATTGAGTGGGGTCCCGCAGGGACCAGTTCTGGGTCCGGTTCTGTTGAATATCTAATCATTGATTTAGATAATGGCCATAGAGAGTACACTTATAAAGTTTGTGGACAATACCAAACTGGTAGGAGTTGCAAATGCTTTGGAGGATAGGATTAAAATTCAAAATGATCTGGACAAACTGGAGAAATGGTCTGAAGTATATAGCATGACATTCAATAAGGACAAATACAGTGTACTCCACTTAGAGAGGAACAGTCAGTTATACACATACAAAATGGGAAATGACTACCTAGGAAGGAGTACTGCAGAAAGGGATCTGGGGGGTCATAGTGGATCACAAGCTAAATATGAGTCAACAGTGTAACACTGTTGCCAAAAAAAAGCAAACATTCTGGGATGTATTAGCAGGAGTGTTGTAAGCAAGACACAAGAAGTAATTCTTCCGCTCTACTCCATGCTGATTAGGCCTCACATGGAGTATGGTGTCCAGTTCTGGGCACCACATTTCAGGAAAGATGTGAACAAATTGGAGAAAGTCCAGAGAAGAGCAACAAAAATGATTAAAGGTCTAGAAAACATGGCCTATGAGGGAAGATTGAAAAAACTGGGCTTGTTTAGTCTAGAGAAAAGAAGACTGAGGGGGAACATGGTAACAGTTTTCAAGTATATAAAAGGTTGTTACAAGGAGGAGGGAGAAAAATTGCTTTTTTAACTTCTGAGGATAGGACAAGAAGCAATGAGCTTAAATTGCAGGAAGGGAGGTTTAGGTTGGACATTAGGAAAAACTTCCTAACTGTTAGGGTGGTTAAGCACTGGAATAAATTGCCTAGGGAGGTTGTGGAATCTCCATCATTGGTGATTTTTAAGAGTAGACTAGACAAACACCTGTCAGGGATGGTCTAGATAATACTTAGTCCTGCCATGAGTACAGGGGACTGGACAAGATGATCTCTCAAGTTCCCATCTAGTCCTATGATTCTCTGATTCTCTGACAGATTTGTTGAAAGAGAACAAATCCCTGTGAAAGACACTATGGAATCCTATTCCTCTAGCCAGGAGCAGCAGAAGCACCCTAAAAGTGTGTGTGGGGGGGGAGCACAGGTGCCCAAACCATGGCCCCATTCCCACACAGTCTCTTCCCCCACTCATGGCACCACTTCTGTGCCACGCCTTTCCCCCGGAGGCCCCAACCCCTGCATGTTCCTCTCTGCCCCCTCCCCTGCCACTTGCCCTTACAGCTGGTAAAAAGTGGGAGGCATGGCCCCCTGGCCTCCCCAGTTCCGGCACCCCTGCCTCCAGTTCAAGAGGATGTGTGCCAACTCTCTTTTCCTTAACAGGCAAGGAAGAAGTTTGTTTTGTACAATCTTACCAGCTTTCTGTGCTTCCTACTTAAAAACAGAATTTGCTCAAAAAGAAAGGACTCTAGTGCTGGCCACTTGGAGCTCAGGCTGAGTAAGAAAA